GTTACAAAGCTTTCAGATCAAGTTCCGGTTTGCCAATCCGATCTAAATCCAGTGAGTTGTCAAGAAACATTTATTCTGGTCAAGAAACATTTATTCTGTCAAAATCCAGAAACGTATTTTTGACTTGAATCGCTTTTCCAGAACGCAGATTCACATCCTTCTAGGTTCACTCCTKCATATTTGGTCATCCAAAGGCTAAGGTGAGGGTGTTGTCTAGATTACTTTAATACTAGTTAACACTAGATGTTCTTACATGTTAGTGTAGGGATAGAATGTGATGTTGTTGGTTATATATGCTAAGTCTAGGAATGTTTGATGCTTGCTGACTGTTAGTAAAGATTGTTTGATGTGTGGAAATTGATTGGTAGTTAAATAAAGTTAAAGATTGAAAAGTATTGTTTGAGATTGTTAGAGTATAGGATAGTTCTGGAAACGATCGCGTACGTAAACCCGTTACAGAACTTTGCGCGTTGGACTACGAACGATCGCGTATGTAAGCCCGTTGTAGTCCATTAGGCCTTAGAGGGCCATGACGGGGAGYACAGACCCAAAARGCGAGAAAYGGGTTGGCTCCGCCGTGAATTTAAGAAAAGTAAAGAAAGTAAAYAATGTGAAAAGGAAAGAAAAGTAGAAAATGTGAAAAGTGGAATGTTTAAGTATGAGTTAATATATAAGTAAAAGAGATTATGGTGTAAAAATACTCGTTGTGAATGTTATGTTGCTATTAATAAGTTGGATGATGAATGTTCTATGTCTGGTTTAATGTGTTTGATTGCCTATTGTTTCCAAGTATTAGAGTTGTTGTGGGTAGCAATCTCACTAAGTAATTTCTTCCCGGAATTACTTATCCCTCTTTTTCCCTTTTAGTTTGTGCAGGTATATTGCTTGTTGAGCAACTTAGGGCACGAGACCTAGGGCTCAAAATGATCAGGGATCGGGTGCCACAATAGGGATTAGGGATAATAAGAGTATTTAAAGAGTAACTCGGATTAACCCTAATCCGAATTGGGCTATTTTTATTGAGGCTCAAACAAATTGCTGAAGTCCCAAACGATGATTGTTGTCCAAACAGATGACTGTGGTCCAAACAGATGACTGAAACCAAAACATAACAGAAGCCCAATTGAAACCCAATTGGATTCAAGGCATATTTAAC